CATCTGTACCAGGGAGCACGAGTTGGACTGGTCTGAAGTGTGCCCAGCCTGCCATGGAGCTTGCCCGTGTGGGCACGTTGAGGAGAGAGCGCAAGGCTTCGCCCGAGGCTGGTTCTGTGTGATCTGAGACAGGCCGCGGGGTGGTGAGCACCCCCTCCTGTAATGACAGCTCTGAGGTGTCCTGGGGAGGCCAGGCCTCGTGGGTCCGGAGCCAGAATCCAGAGAGCTGCAGCTGGGAAATCGACCCTGCCGCCTCCTGCCTGGGACCTTCTGTGGCTCCCCGGCACCCCCAGGATCAGGATCCACTCCTCCCCCTGCCTCTGAGGCTGACCCTGCCCTCTCTCAGCCTCAGCTTCCCCTCCTCTCTCCTCCACCACACGGAGTCCCGGCCCACCTCCAGGTCCCTCTGCCTGGAGCTCTCTTCTCAGCCGTGGGTCTGGTACCAGCACTGTCCCTTCTGAGATCTGCTGGTAGCATCTCCCCCTCTTGTTTTTCTCTCTTCTCTCTCATTTGCCTCCCACCCTCCTCCGCCCAGCACTTCTATAATTTGCCATTGTTTCACTTTGTGCTCGTCTGTTGTTTGACTGTCTCCCTCACCGGCCTGGACGTCCCCCTCAGAGTCCAGAGGTCCCGGCACCTCTGCATCCTAGAGCAGAGTCTGCCCTCCGATGGCAGCGGCCAGCAGGAACAACTCGGTTTTCATACTACAGCCAGCCATCACCCACCTGTGATCAGAGAGGTCAGCGGAGACGCAAACAGAAAACCAGCTGCCCACGCCCTGCCCATGGAAACTGCTGGATTTTGAGAGTCGGCCTGCACAGTCATGACAACATTGCTCGTTCTGTCACAGCCCCATGGTCTCCCTGTCATCCTGCCACGAGCCAGCTCTGTGGCTGTGTCGGACGCTGGCTGGCCGCGCGTGTCCCTCACGCAGGGACAGGCACTGAAGGCATCAGCAGCCCCACCTCAGATCTTCCCATCTCCCTCCGTCCGCCATCCACCCATCTTCTTTCACCCCTGGAAAAATCTAGCAAAGGAGGAGAGTGAGGGCGCCAGGAAGGAGGACACTGGGGTGTGGTGGGAAGCCCTTGAGATGGGGCAAATTGTGGTTCCTCTGTGTGTTTTTCTGGGGAGAAGGCACCGGATTTCATCAGATTTCTGGAGCGGTCATGACGTACAAAAGGCCAGGAACCACCAGCCACAGAGAGGGGCATCCCAGGCAAGTCTCCATGTGCTGCTGCTTGCTTGCCTCCGGGGATGGGGAGCTCAGCCCTCGAGAGGTGGCCATTCCATTCCACACGGCTCAGCCCTTCCTTCTTTCTGGTGCCGTCTGCTCCCAACAGCAGCCAGAGCAAGCCCCACTCTGCTCCCTCAGGTGCCTCTGACATGCGAATTTGCAGCTGCTGCCGCGGCTTCCAGACATTTCTTCTTGCTCATTTTCCTCAGTAGCAAGAGGGCCTGGCTGCTGCAGGCTCAATGCCCTGGGCCGGAAGTTCCCTCCCCATTCTTGAGTGGGCTGAGCTGGGGTCTGTGAGTCAGGACCATCCTCCATGCCACGCCTGGACGATGGGCGTCATCTCTCTGGTGACCGCTGGGTGGGGGGCAGGGCAGGTGGCCGCTGAGGAGGGACCCGGGAAGGTAATGGGGGCAGGAGGCAGCCCCAGCCCCGCACCTGTCTCTGGGCCCCAGGGCCCAGGCTGAGACAGGGACAGAGGGGTCTAGGGGAACTTGGAGAGCAGGATGAGGAGGGACACCCGTTCACCACTATTCTCTCTGCCCACCACACTGGCACCGTCTGTCTAACCTCAGAGGCAGAGGTGGCCACCCTCCCAGGGGGTCTGAGGTCAGTCCCCTCTCAGTCTGCCTTCTCACCTGTAAGGTGGGCTCTATGGCCCCCACCCTGCACGAGCCTCCCAGGGAGGGTGGGGATTGGAGTTAGGGGCCCAGGCCTGCGGCTCTCCAGCCCCAAGAGGCTTGGCCTCAGACCCCTGTGGGCTCACCTCTGCCCGTCAACCATTTATGCGTTTAATCGGGTTCTCTGAGGCTCCCATGTGCTGGGCACGGGGCTGCCCTGGAGAGGCACTCAGACCCCATACCCGAGCATGGGGTACTTCTCGGAGGTCCCAGGAGATGTTTACCTGGGGGCTGTGGATGCACCGGGGGCTCTGGGAAACCCCAGAAGCACGTCCCTGTGGGACAGGGAAGGGCCGTGGGGTTCATGCAGCCCTAGGGGCCACAGCCCAGGGGAGGCCCCGTTGCGGCTCCGAGGCTCGGAGTGGGGGCGGGGGGGTGGGGGCGAGACCGTCATCCCCCTGGCAAGGGCCACAGAGGTTGCAGAGCAAGCAAGTAGGGTGGGAGGGCTGGGGTGACCCCAGGCCAGGATGGTCACGGTGGGGGCTGATACAGGGTGGGGTTTGCACGTCAAGTCTCAGGGAACCCCGAGGAAGCCCCCAGGCTGATGGCGCCTGTCGTGGCCTCTGACTCCGTGGGGCACCTGGGCCCTGGGCTGGGCCTGTGCCAGGAGGGGGTCCGAAGGCCAGGGTGCCATCCCCCCACGCCCCTCACGATTCCCTTGGGGCTGTGTTCGCAGGTTCCCTCGGAGACATGGAGACTGGAGAAGAGGCCCAGGCTGCAGACACCAGCCTCCCAGAGCGTGAGGCCACAGCACCGGAGCCAGAGGCTGCGGGGGAGCCAGAGCCCCTGAGTCCCTGCAGTGCAGGTGAGTGGGGGCCGTGGGCCCAGCGGGCGGGTCTCCACCCTGAGCTCCCGCCACCCCTTCCCTCGTCCTCACGGGACTTCGCAGGAGCCTGTCCCTGTGGGGACTTGGTTTCCACACCTGTGAGACGAGTCTTGAGCTGGGTGGTGTCTGGGCCTGACTGTGCCCACTGGGTCCAGGAGAGGCTTGGGCGGCTCTAGCCAGGGCCTGACCCAGGGGCCTGGAGGGGAGAGGAGAGACGCACATCTTCACGAGGGCCCTTTGTGGTACAGGTGGGGAGACCAAGGCCTGATGGGGAAGGTCTATCCCAGGGTTAGACAGGGAGTCGTACGGGCCACTGAGTGGCCTCGGGAAAGCCACGCACCCCCAGCATCTACAAAAGTTTACCCTCTACAAAATAGGGCAGTGAAGCCTCGCCTGGTACGGTGCCTGCCCTAGCACACATGGTGCTTAGTACATGGCAGGTTCTCCTGTTAAGGTGCTTCACCCCACTTTACAGATGAGGGCATGAGGCCCAGAGAGGTTAAGTGACTTGCCCAGGGTCACACAGCCTATTACCACCCAAGCAGGGATCCAACCCCAGGTCTGGATTCAGGTTGATTCACCATGTCTCCCCTGCCTGCTCCCCACCCCACTCCACTCCGGGTACCTGGAACCGCTCCTTGGGCCCTCCTGGTGGCAGTTCTGGGGTGAGGGGGGTGCATTTCTAGAGCTGAGAACAGGACCTGGAAGGAGAGGTACCCCCCCACCCAGAGTGAGTAACCTGGCACCAGGCGGCCTGCTCTGGCTGGGTCCCCGGTGGGGCCTCGAAACTGGGACAGCCTTTTGGGCCAGCTGTACCCCCAGAAACCCCCAGAGACCCCCAGGAGGAAGAGGAAACTGAGGCTGGGGGTTTGTGGTAGAAGAACGAGGGGTGGGCTCTGCGGTCTGCCTGGCATGAGCACCGGCTCCCCCACCCCCTCCACCCTGCTAGCCGTGGGCAATGGCCTTGGCCCCGTTCCGCCCCCCAGGCCACAGTATGATGTGGAAGACGCAGCCACAAACAGGACCTTTTGGAAGGTGGTAAGTGGGAGGCATGACTGGGAGCGAAGGAGAGATGGGACAGGGGGTGACACTGAACAGAGACCGAAGGACACGTAGAGCCACCGTGCTGTGCATAGGGAAGGGTGTGCCAGGCAGCAGTGCCCGCAAGCACAAAGGCCCTGGGGTAGGAAAGAGAGTGGACAGAGGAGAGCGCAACAGAGGGGGCTGGAGGCCGAGGAGGGGCCAAGGGTGGGGGAGATCCCAGACAGACCCTGGTCCCAGGAGGGTCCTTCTCACTGTGCACCCCCCACCCCCAGTGTTTCCCAGCCTCAGAGTGTCAGCCTCCCCCTTTGGACGTCCACAGGCCCAGGAGCCCAAGAAGCCTTGTCCTTGGAGACCTGCTGGCCCCTATGTCCCCTTCCCCAGAGGCAGGCCCATGGGATCACCAGGGCCATGTGGCGAGAAGGAGGCAGAGCCAGCGGGACTTGAACCCAGGGCCAGGGCTCCCATCGCCCTCCACTCGCTGGGGCAGCGGGGCCGGGGTGAAGGGCCACGGCCTGGCCTCTGGTGCCGGCTCCTGTGCGTTGTTGTTATCGCTGCTGCCATCGTCTCGGCCTCATGTTGCTCAGCAGTGCAGCCGGCACTCAAGGCCCGTGCTCCTGGCCCTCTCCTGGCCTCAGTTTCCACATCTGTAACTGGGCACGAGCCCCTCCCGGTGGCCGAGGCTGAGGGGGTGTGAGGGGCCACTCATCGCCATCACCATCACCGTCATTGTTAGGGGCTGCGCTAATGGGGGGCCACAATCTGCCAAAGGGCGAGTGGCTCATTACTGGTGGACTTTGACCCGGGTGGCTTTCCTGGGGAGCAGGGCCCCTTATCTGATCTGGGAGCTGGGGCTGCACAGGGGTGGGGGCAGGGCCGGGGAAGGAGCTGGAAAAAACAGCCGGGGTTGCACCTGGCACAGGCCGTGGTGATAACGCAGTGATGGGCGCGATAAGGCGGCGGGAGCACTATCTGCCTCTTGGGCGGGCCCAGCGCAGCTCCTGCGTGGTGGCTGGAGCTCAAATGCCAGCCATGTTGATTTATAGCCAAAAATAATAGGACTTTTATACTGTGTGATTGATTTATTTGATGTTAATCACAGCCCTTATCGAGGGTATTAATAATCTGCCGGGTGCATGACGTCACCAAGGGGGGGCTTTTATGGGAGCTCATCGATTGGGGGCCGCGGTGGTTATCAGGCCCGGCAGGGAAGGCAAATATGCCCTTTGGGCTGGAATTGGGTGCAGGGCCTGGTGGAGGGGCCCCCAGCTGCCGGCTGGAGGAGACAAGGGAGCGGGGGCCCACGCGTGTGCCCGCTGGCCTGGGTGTGCCCGGTAGGCCATCTTCTACCTCTAATTAGGCACTCTAATTATTAACAGCAGCTGGAATAGCAATTATTATTGCTGTAATTAATGAGAGGGATGAGGAATTTTAAAGGCCAAGGGGAAAATTGAGATGTCTGACCCCCACAATGAGAGCAAGCCTGGAGGTGGGGCATCTCAGGCGTGTGCTCGCCCGCCTGGGCCACAGGGTGGGGTGGGCGGGTGACACGGCGCCCAGGGTTCTTTGCAGGGCCTAATGGTGTTTTCTTCTCTGCAGACGCTAATCCCCCACCCCCACCCCCACCGCCACCAGCCGCCACGTCCCCCGGAGGCCCCCAGGAGATGGAGGGGCAGGAGCCAGAGACGAGGCTGGAGGAGGAGGCCGGCAGCTCCTGGAGGGGGCCAGGTAAGCACGCCTGCAGGAGGGTCCGGCAGCATTGCCTCTCCAGGGCGGCCCGGGTCCCAGCCTTCAGGGGGTCCTGGGAGCTGTCCACCCTGATGGCTCGGGTGGGACGGGCCTGGCCTGCTGGCCGGAGAGATTGTGGCGACCCACTGGGCCTGGGCCTGTTCCAAAGTCCAGCCGGCCAGTGGGGCCAGCGGGATCACTGGAGGCGGGCACTGAGCCGTGCCGATGCTAAGGGCTAAATGCGGGCCCCGCACAGCAGATGGAAGCATTCCGAGTGTTCCCTGGAGGCAGTCTGAGCTGGCTGGGAAAGAGGAGCAGGCCGTGAGAGCAGGGAACAGCATCTCGGGAGTGGGAATAGCCAGGGCAAAGGCAGTGAGGCAGGGATGTGTGTCTGGAGCCGTCCCAGCCGGGCCGGGGGTTCAGAGCTGGCAGCAGAGGCCCCAGGCAGGCACGCGGACCTGTGCAGGCCGGTAAAGGACCCCTCTCACCCCTCGGGTGGCTGCAGCCGCGTGGGAGGCAGGAGGCTGCTCCACTGCCCAGTCCTGGACCACAGGAGTGTCTTTGAGGTCCCAGCAGTGTTGTCCCTGTGGCCCCCATTCCCCTGTTTGTGAACTCGGACAAGCTGGGCGAGCTGGTTGCCCCCGTTCGTGATCAGTAACTAGCGCAGCTCAGGGGGCTCTGCCTCTCTGGGCGCAGGCGCAGCTGGTCGTCGAGGGCCGAGGGCCATGGGTGAGAGCCGGTGGGTGAAGGAGGGATGGAGCAGAGGCCACACATTCAGGCCAGCCGTGTGGACACAGCTGCATATATTGAGCACCTACGCATACCAGACAAACACCTGTGAGCACACAGTCGTCAGGGAGCTGCATGTGGCGTAATAACACAAGTGAGGTTCATGGCAGTGGAGAGGGAGCACGTGGTGAGGGCTTCGCCTTGCTGGGGGGGCGGTCAGGGAAGGCTTCACCAGGGCAGAGGGAACCCCCGTTCCTCCTCTGGGGATCCCCCATGGCCAAAGATGGGAAGGGTGTCAGAGATGGTCTCACCAGGTTCAATTCGAGTGGTTGTGTGGGCCCCTTGTTGGGACCCCAAGGTGTCAAGAGGAGCGTGCTGTGATCAATTAGTGATGTCTGCCATGAGCACCGATGTAGATGTGGTGGCACGTGTGCCTTGGGGTCCCCCTGCTGATTTAACATATCCCGTTCCCGCAATAGGTAGGCGGTCTGAGGCCCAGAGAGGGAGGGGTCAGCCTGGTGGTCACAACCAAGATGGTGACCCCATACCATGGGGAAACTGAGTCCACTCCCAGCCTCTACCACCCGAATGGGCCGTGGTGCTGCCTGGGAGTAGAGCATCCTGGGTAAGACAGCACTGGGGGGCCCTCATGCTGTCCTTCAGGATGGACTTGGCTTCCTGTCCCTTGGCCATTCTGCACCCCACCTCGGAGACTGGTGATGGGCAGGGGAGGGGTCCAGGGGCTCTGGCAGAAATGTGCCAACAGCACGCCCTCTCCCCACCAAGGAGCACCTGGCGAGGGACAGGCCACAGCACCACATGTCTGCAAGGCCCTCCCAGCCCAGCTGGGCACAACTGAGCCAGATGCCCACTTGCGGGGCACCAGGGCCTGCAGGGGGGGCCCTTCCTCGCACAGGGGACAGTGCCATGGGGGATGGGCAGGGGCCCTGCGGTCAGACTGCTCTGCCTCCCTCAGTTTCCCAAGCTCTAGAATGGGGTGACAATGAGGCACCCACAGATGCCGGGTGAGCCCTGCGGCCCCCACATTAAGGCTTTGCCAGTGCAAACTTCCTGCTGCCATGGGGGTGCAGGCAGGGACCCCCTGTGTGCCTGCAGGACCCTGATTGGCCACTGGGCAGGTGAGGACTGAGGCAGCAGCTACTGGACAGAGTGACCGTGGGGAGGAGAGCACCAGGTGGTCGCCACACCGGCGTCTTTACGGAGGAGACCCAGACACAGAGTGATGAGGGGGCTCGTCCAAGGTCACCAGCTGGGAAGCGGCAGAACTGGGACGTGGACCCGCCGTCTGCTCCAGAGCTCGGGCTGCGAGTTTGTAAATGCTTCAGTCATCACCCCAGCTGGTCCCGTCCACCCTGCCTGTTAACATCAGCATCTCCGTCTTACAGAAGGAGAAACAGAGGCCCCTAGAGATTGGAACCTGACCCTGGGGCATGGGGTGGCCGTGGGGGCTGTGGTTTGGGGCTGGGGTGCACCGGGAGCTTCCTGCGCTATTTGCATCCTCGGGGGCCCGGGGGCTCCCTATCGGCTCCCACAGATATGAATTTCTGTGCATTGGGCAGTGATGGGCGATAAGCGGCCGCCGGCCAACCGCCGAGGTGGCCGCCTGCTATCAGGCTCCGAGCAGGCCACACTTATCGCCCGGCCGGGAAGCCAGAGAGGCCCAGTGGGCTCTTATCTCGTGGGGGCCGCCCGTGCCAGCAGTGGGGTGGCAGGGCTTTGCCGGGGCCCAGCCAGGTCAGTGTCCCCGAGGGCAGTGCCCGGCCCAGTGACCAGCCAGGGGGTCGGAGCCTTAGCCTGCACGTCTTGGCCCCTCTCTCCCTTCCCTGTCTCTCTGAGCCCCTCTGCAGGTCCGTCTCTGCCTGCCTCTCTCTCCCTCCTGCACTGTTTCTCCCGCCCTGTCTAACTGAGTCTGTCCCTCGACCTCGGGCAGCTACTGCCCTGTCCCCGAGCGTGGGGAAAAGCGCGGGCCGGCTGCGCCTGGCCTGGGGCCACCAGCCCGGGGGGCACCACCGCCTTTCCCCTCTGGGATGAGGGGCTGGCTTAGACTGCAGAGCACCCCGCGCTGTCTGGCTTTGTGGAGGTGACTGGGCCCCAAGCCTCAGTTTCCCACCTGGCCTCAGAGCCGGGAGCCCAGGGCTGGGCACACGCCTGGTACAGCCCATGCTGTGGCCCCCACCTCGCCTTTCCGGCTGCCACCTGCTGGCCAGGACCACGGCTTATGAGTCTCCTGGGGACTCTCTCCCCCTGTCAGACCCATCACCCAGGGAGGGCACTGAGATTGCCAGGGGCCCGGGAGCCAGCGGTATCAGCACAGCGGAGAGGCCAGCCTCAGTGCCCCCTCCACAGCTCACAGTGGGTGTCATGCAGCCGCCCAGCCCCAGTGGTCAAGGCCTCGAGCAGATGGGGGCGAAGACCCCCAGGCAGAAGGGAGGCCCCCAACCCCTCTCCTCCCAGGAGGCGTCGACATGCGCTGCAGACGCAAACGAGGTCCTGGATGTGCAAGGGCTTTGTAAACACTAGAGCGTGTATCCCGGAGTATGTGAGGGGCCCATAACCGCCTAGCCCCGTTACTGCCCCACCCTAGCTCCCTCCTGCCCCTGGCTGATACCTGGTGACCCCAGAGTTCCAAAACCAGGCTGGGGAGGTGCTCAGGGGTTTGTGTTCATTTTCAAAAGTTACAAGCTTTGTCAGCTGCTGGCTGCTTAGTTCTCAAGTGTTGGCTGGTCAGGTGGGCACACACCGAGCTGTCCTGAAAGGCAGGAGCATAGACCCCGGAGCCCGCCCGCCCGGGCCTGGGTCCAGCTTTGCTGAGTGACTGTGGGATGGTTGCTTGACCTCTCTGGGCCGCAGGGTCCTCTTCTGTGCAGTGGAGCTGCAGAGAGCACCGGGCTCGCGAGGGTGCTGTGAAGAGACGCCCACGGTGCACAGAGGACAGGCCCTGGTGCAGAGCGAGCTCCTTGCCGCTGTTGTCACCCGCCTGGGGCAGCCTGGGTTCCCCTGGTATTGGGGGTGAGGGATGTTCCCTGAGACAACCAGAACTCTGCTCTCGGGGCACAGGGACACTGTACCCGCTGGCCGGCCAGCCGTGTGACCGTGCAGCAAGGAGAAGCCACCTTTTGCTCCCCTATTGGTGGCGGTCACCTTGGCCCCATGGACGCCATCACCCACCCTGGGCCCATGAGGCCCTGCTGCACCGGCTCAGGTCTCCCAACCGTCAGTAGCCCGGGGTTCAGGCTGGTTTGAGACCCAGCTCTGCGGTGACTCTGCAGTGTGGCCTCGGGGGTGTCACCTTCCTGCTCTGAGCCACAGGGACAGTAGCTGCCCCCTTGGGTGGCAAGGGCTGGAGCAGAGCCTGCACCGAGTGGGTGCTGGGTCAACGCTCTCTGACGCTAAGGAGCTGGTGTGCCAGGCCATCCCAGAGCTGCAGGGTGCGTGGGCAAGTGAGGCGTCCTAGAGAAAAGGGGACCCCAAAGGGGCCCATAAGGCGAGAAGGTCCTGCGGTCCGAAGGGCCGTGTGATGTTGACAGAGGGGGTGCCAGGTGGAGGGCACGGCCCACACAAAAGCTCGGAGGCGGGACCCGGCGCAGGAGGAGGCCCTGGGCCTGAGCAGGACATGGGGAGGGGGTCAGGGTGGGTGGGGTATGGTCCTGAGGAAGGGGGGTAGAGGGCGGGCTCTGAGCAGGGCAGCATCCCTTGGGGAGAGTGGAGGAGGGCAGAGCAGGGGACTCCCCCACCCCAGCCCCTGGTCTGTGGGGACAGAGTTCAGCCCGAGGTGGGGACAGCACCCACCAGGGCTGGGGAAGGGGGACATTGGGCTGGGGGCTGCCCTGGCCCAGCCCTGCCTTGTCTTCGCCTGAGCCGCCAGCCCCAAATTCAAAGCGGGCTGCGGCAGGAAGGGGAAGCTCTGTAACTTTATCTTTTAAATGACCTTGTTCACTGGAGGGGCTGGCTGCTTAAAATTCTGATATGCAAATAGCAGCATGCCGTAATCTATAATCCAGCTGCACTGTGGGGGGGGCGGGGAAGGGGGTGGGGGGGGGAGGGCATGCCTCTGCCTCTGCTGGGCCTGAGGCTCTGTGGGTCAGGGGTCAGGGGTCAGGGGTCAAGGGTCCCCCCGCCCCCATCTCTCCACTGAACATCCAGAGAAAGCAGGTCAGCAGACACACCAGCTGTGTTAGGACTGAGAGCCCCGAGGGTCCTGTCCGACTGTGTGGGGTCACCAGGCCTGTTGCCTGCCTCATGGCCCCGTC